GACGAACTAGCCATGGGTATGGGTAATATACCCTATAGAAATCGTCAAGTTTGATTAACAACTGCAGGAGAACCATACGAGACCATTTTTTCCGTGCAAACGGTACAAATGGCTTGCAATTCACTCACATATATCTGATGGCCGTGATATTTGTGGTGTTCTTTTTATTTTTTCTTATTTCAGCTAGTAGTAAAAGGTAGCATAAAATAAAGCATGTATTACACGTTAGAAATTACTACTATCCTTATCTCAGAAGCGATCGTGTACATGGCAGATCATCTATTATTTGTTCTACAATAATTATATAAATTAAAATACTTTCTTCACTTAATTATGAGAAACAAAATCACATCCTATATGATTAAGGTCTATGGTAAACTATTTTTTTGCAAGCTTTGTTATGATTTGTTATTGTCATTGATTCTTGTGAAACTTTTTAAGCGCTATTCATTTCACCAAATATTGTGGGCTCACACACAGCTTTTCCTTCACAAGTTGATCAATAAACAATCTGTAGATGACAAAGTTTCTTTTTTCATATTTTTGGTTTCGCTTGAAAAACTGTATCGAAGGATATTTGATTCTTTCTCTCAAAGTTACTGTTTTAAGATTAAGAAACAAATTAGCATTGATACAACAAAACAGAAAAACACTGGTACTGATAGGAACTATAGATGCTTCATGTTTGTGAGTAAAACTTGTTTGGTTTTAGACGCACTTGGATAATTGCCATGTTGATTGTACATGTGAGCACTGTGGTAAAATATTTTCGCCGTTATCGCATCAGTTAGACGAGCATAAAAGGAATATGTCCATGAAAGCACCCGTAGTCTGTCCACTAACGGAGTATGGATGCTGCCATACAGTAAGATTAAGTGATGGCTACCATTTATGCTGGAAAGAATTTTCTTTCTGACTTTTAAGATTGTCCGATATGATTTTGGTAACCATCTGATAACTGTGCAACATCAACAAAGTTTATTGACATTTTTGGAGAAATTACAAGAATCATTGAAAGGAATAAATCCTAATACAAAATCTCTCACAACAACGAGTACAGCTGTTGAACAAGAAAACATCGATCATTCTTCATTAATGGAAATTGAGCATGCGAATACATCATATTCATCGACTCATATAAATGATTTATTTGTGGAGCTTAGAAAGTGTTATGAGTTACTGACAATTCTGACACAAGGTGCTCAAACATCATTAAATGATACGAATCGATTAAATACAGAATTATTACATTTAAATAATCCAATGACAGGAATACATAAACAGTTGAATGAACCGAAAAAGAATATAACAGAAATAGATAATTATATTGCAACTATAGGTGCTAATCAGGAACGTTTACAACAAGATCTATCATATGCACGGCAGAAAATAGAAGAAATACAAAATGTTTCATATGATGGAAATTTGATCTGGCGAGTAACAAGCGTCTCTGATAAAACACCTAATGCGAAACGTGAAAGACAAACATCCATTTATTCTCCGCCATTCTACTCATCACCGACTGGCTACAAAATCAGAGCTCCTCGCGATTTGAATGGAGATGGAAACGCTAAACAAACCCACATGTCTCTCTATTATTCCTCGCTTAAAAGACCCAAGACATCTCAATGTTTCCAACCGAGCAAGCAACAACAGCAACCAAAACGCTATAATATACAGCAATATCGTCGCCGAAGTTAAGGAGAATTGATCTTAATAGACGAGATGCAATAGCAACATATCAGACGAATACTTGGAGATCTATAACCAGCAAGTTTCTTATAATTGCGAAAATTCTATTAAATTGTATTTTTAAAAACAAAAATGAAAAATATGACATTTTATTGCAGAAGACATAGATAAACTAGATGGCAATCACGCTACGCAAGACTTGCAAATGCGATGCGAAGCGAAACACTGATATTTAGGTTCCATGCGAATGAGCACGTTTATGATGATTCATCGATAATGAACGAGTAACACTATCTCTGAATCAATCGGCTGTGAAAACAGCTTTGCACTACACTGCACATGGCACCTGCACTTTCAGACCAATTATCGTTTTGTTTTAAAAAATCGCGAAGTCCTCGAGTTTCAATCGACCTACTTTCGAACGTCCTAGGGAAGAGGTACAATGTCTATCAAGTCTCAAAAGCTACACACGCAGGAAAGCGTAATCGTTTTTTAAATTTTGAGATAGGATACATATAGTTATTGAGACGATTCTTACAGAAAATGACAAAAAAGTTGATCTAGAAAAAAAATACGTGCACGATTGCTAGAATACGGTTATGCGTCCCAACGCATTGAAAATACTGTGTGCAATGTGGCACCTGATGTAATATGTGCCATGTAAAGGAGTAAAGACTACTACCTTTTCAAGAATTCCTTAATCACAGTGTATTCCTAAATTATAGAATCACCCCGCCTTTTTCTTTCCCTAGTGAGTTTAGTAACTTTTGACGGCACTAATAGAAAGAGCATGAAAAAGTGAGTACATTGATGGAAGTCGTCAGAGAGTCATTTTCACAGCCGAACAGTCTGATCAAGTCTATTTCTACGGTTGAGTAGTTAAGCTTTTTGGATACTAGGTAATACCGATTTGAACAAACTCGTGAAAATTTTACATTGCTTTATGATGATTTAAATATTGTATGATATCAGTATCAATAAAAAATTATTTAGTTGAGTGGCATTTTGGATAGATTATAAGAATACCTCAACTCCCTATTTATGCGAAGGCCAAAACGTGCGTAGTTTTTCGCACACCACCCTGCTCTATGCATTATATTAATAGATGTCAAAGTATTGCACAACTGCAATGGTTTACAGTATTCTTCGTTTGATGAACTCTACTTGATTTAAGTTTAAATATTAGTTGTCTTTGTGGTTCAGTCCAAAGAAATTTCTTCTTAAGGACCTCCTCCCCTCAGAACGATAAATTTTTTGTCTAAAAAATTGATTTTGAGATTTGTATATAGTTGAAGAGTCCAAAGTGTCCTCTTTGCAACGCATTAATTTTTATGCCTTGAAAAAGGGCTTTTGACGGTTTTCTGAAAGCCTCGGCCTTCAGCTTTCAAGCTTGCTAAAAACAAATTTTCTTGATCACTTGCACAAACAGATTATTTTGGTATTCGGGCGGGTTAATATATATTGCTATGGGCGTCATCTATTTGCAGGAAAGCGTCAAAGATTTCTTGGTTAGAGATGTGGAAGCTGCATCCTTCAAGATAACATGGGTGATCTTTGACCCATTCGAATGAGTGATATGAAAAACGTTTTTTTTCTGCAGCTATTTTGTTTATTAATATAAGCTACATTATCGTTCTTTTCGCTAGAGCTAGGCTTTATAACACGAGCAGTTTATATTAGAAGAGCTAAGGTCCCAACAGTGTTCAAAGCCTATTTTTCCATTCATTTGCGAGATTTCTAGACCGTAGGCATGCACTATTTGGTTTAAACTTTTCATTTATGCACTATTTTCAGTTTTTAAGAATACAAACAAGATGTGTATTACTCTAACTCTAAGTGTTGCAGGCAGGGATGCCAACTGAAAATAAAATAAACGAGGACTGTTTTTTTACAAAGGGGAACAACACAAAACACGTTATTTGTCGTGTGATATCATTGAGAAAATTAAACGCATGTGAGTATAGTCTTTTTTCTGGTCTTTCTAATATTGCTATGTCAAAACATAAAATTTAATATAACTATCTTTTGTCACACAAAAAGCATTAAACGGTCATAATCATATATCATAATCATGAAAATAATTGCATGTTAAATTTTCGTGATTAATGTTCTTATTGTTTATGAAGTTAATAATTTAGTTGAGAGGTCTTTGTAAGATCTTTCAACTAAATTCTAATTTTGAATTCTGCTTTTAGTGCTATTTCTTATGTGAAATCTCATATAAGAAACATTACTAAATGCTAAAAGTCTATTAAACTGGAAGCGTAATACAAATGTGAAAAGTCCATCGAAGACGGTCAAAAGAAAATATCCTTGAAAAGGGACACATCCTGGAGGACAGATTTTTGTGGGGAACAAATCTTTAAATGTGAGATTGTCCCTCTTATGGGAGGACATCTGGCAACCCTGGTTGCAGGAAACCGTTTTGAGAAGTCATCTTAGTTTCACGTTGCTACTGTTAATGAAACTCACTGATTGTACTTTCTGTTTGGGTTCTACAGGTAAGACGTCGGTTGGTTGAGATCAAGGGAATTGCTAGTTTTATGGGCTTTCTGATCTTCAGCCCCCAAACAGAAGAACATCAAAATTCTTTTTTGTATTACTTATCTAATCTATAATAGAAATTTCTGAAGTTTTGTTAAATAAAGTTTGTTCAATTATGAGAAATTTACCCTCACTTATTGTACTTTTTTGAGAATATGCTTTGATAAAAATACTTATGCTCTTCGATCAGTTATTACGAGTCTATGACAAAACACAAGCGAGAAGAGAAATATCCTTAAGTTTATTTTTATCGTCAGTATGATATTGTTCATTGTTAAACAAATTCAACAAACGTTATGTTTCTTATGAAAACAATGAGTCACTTATTACTTATGAATAAAATAGACGAAATACAGAAGAAAAAACAGAATACTGTTACTTTGTTTATGCTGATTGACGATAGACTTCAATTGCTTTTTGAAAATAAGTGAAAGCTAAATCAAATTGTTTGCCATTTTTATACATATTTGCAATATTTTCATATGTTTTCGATATATGATGATAATTTAACAATGGAAATTTTTGTTGAATATTTAATATTTTTTCATAGTATAATAATGCTTCATCATATTTCATTTGATTAACATATAAACGAACTAATTCATTATAAATCGGTATCACTTCAGGCGTATTACCATTTAATTTTTCATTTCTTTTCATGAATAAACAATAATATTTTAATGTATGATAATTATCATTTTTTTCGTCAAAGAATAACCCAATTTTTTTATAAATAGATGCAACATTTTCTTCATTTTTATTATTTAAATTATTTAACTGAAATATTTTAAGTAAAATTAATTTTCCATGTTGATTAACAACCTTTTTGAAATAGTTCATGTGACGATGAAGGTGACCTAAGGGACCGTAAGTCATGTGATTTGTGTCAATCAAGGATTCTTCATAATATTTTAATGATTTATTCGATTGAGCAAAATCTAATAATAATTTTTCGACATCATAATTTTTAATTTCTTGTTTTATACAACTGAAAATATTTTTTAACTGATGTTGTTTGTCATTTCATTACATAGTCGTAAATCTATTATTGAATAATTATCTGTTTTTCTAATACTATTTATTTGAAATATTGAATCAATCATAAATAAAATCTCTTGTTCATTATTATTATTATTGTTGTTCATAAAATATTGTTCACCATTAATATAAGCAAATGGTTTTATACATGATGAATTATCAATATGGATGTGAAATAATACTCGCTTTAAATTATTTCTGGATATTAATGACGTTTCAATGAAATCAATAATCAATTGTCGATTATCAGAACCAAATAACAACCAATTCATTGAAATATATTCATTAATTGATTTTTCTATTTTATGCAAATAGTATTCATCTATTAATACTCCACAATAAACGTCTGGTGTTGATAATTGTTGTTGTTCAGTTTTTAATTTTTCTAATTTCTTATATAAATCTATTAGCAAAAATTGACATGTTATAATCATTTCTATATCATTTGAACATATGGTTTTATTTAATGTTTTATATAAACAACAGTCACGTGTATACCACCATCGAACATTTTCTTCTGTATAAGAACAACGAAATTCTTCAAGAACAGACATTTGTTTTTTATTATCACTATAACATTGTTGCCATAATTGAATAAATTCTTCTCGATTTGACTTTGATCACTGGATATGAAATAATATTAACTCAAGTATTAATTGTGAAAACATAAAATCATTATAAATTTTTGATCCTTTCTCTTGGTCTCCTTCTGGTACAAAATTAATGTTGCAATGATTGCCACATGGACATGCAATGGTTACGGTTATGACCGATTACGGTTATCGGTTAATATCCGTAACCGTTGCATGTCTATATCCAATCAATCAGTTAGGAAAGCTTCCAACAGGTTTTTACTAATAAACGCACTGACAAATAGTTTGTAGGACCGTAGAAGTAGAAACAAAGAACAAAAGGCTGAAATAGTTAAAAGTTTTGGTAAAATTCAGCAACCACGAGTATGCGTTGATTAGTAAACTAAACCAGGCTGACTACGACTAAAAAGGTGAAAGCCTTAAAACAACAGAATTATTTTTATGCCATAAATAAAACTTATTTTATAGTTTTATTTCAAAAAGCTTCAAAGTAAACAATAAATTATACTTTTCTCAAGTAAGGCGCTGCAAGTTCAAAGAGGAAGCACTGTTATGTTTTTGCTTTGAATAAAGAACTCAAGCCAAGATTCAGTCGCCAAGCCATCAAGCATTAGTCATCTGGGCCAGGAAACGAAGAAAATAAACTTATTTTTCGATAAAAAGCACCCATTTGATTCACTATCAAAAATTAGCTGTACCTTATAATTTTATCGTTTCAAGTCATTTTCCTTCTGAAGTTATAAAAGTTATTCTAAAAAGAGGTTCCAAACCGAAAAAAATACACTAGTTACACTGCTTATTACACAATACACTACGGCATGTGCTTATTCTTTATTTCTTTGCATGTTTGGTGACCAGGGTATCACAGTTCAGGCTTCTCTCTGGATTCACTATCGTACAGATAAGATTTCACAAAACTTTTTTATGTAGAGCAATAGTTTCATCTTTTATTTTATTAAAACTACAAGAAACTGAAAATATAAAATTTCTTCGACAAAAGAATGTTTGTTACTCCTACAGGCACTTTTTAATTCTTGTAACTAATTCTTAAATCTCATCTCACAAATGAAATAAATAGAGTAGATGTAACATATTTCCAGTGGCGTAACTAGGATTTATAGGCTGTTAGATCGTGTCAAAGACGAGCCACGGTAACGATCAGCACGAAAAATGACGGCATCAGAACTGGCCACAGTCGGAAAATTTTTCTGTCCAAACAGGAAATGCTCGGCTCACCTAGTCAATCGAGTTTTTTTGACTCCAAGAAATGTTTCAGCACAAATGATCAATTCTGTTCGATTATGCATGAATATCTTCCTGGTTTGACATTAGCTTAGGCCAATATTCCATCAGCCTGATTAATTCTAAATTGTACTGAATTGTACTACTCCAATCTTAGATTCGCCTGGTGTTTGGACTGACACTTTGAACTACTATCCATGTCAATGAACAATGGAGTCGGTTGTAAGTTGAATAACTTCGGATAGGAAGCAGCTAGAGACCTGCTACCATAAGCGTTTTTCTAAGAGCCCCGATTTCGACCAGCTGACCTTGGGTCACTCCAAAAAACCTTGAAATATAGCTAATCGATCATGCTGAGTCGAGTGGTGATGCTTATTTTCTGTTTGGAAGCGACTGAAATCACTAAATTGGTAGTTCTGAAATTTTTATATTCGGACGTTATGTCGCGCGATGCGTCGTATTGCAAAGTTGTAACCGGTCCAGAATTTTCAAATCGGTCCGATCCGGCCGGTTGAAAAAAATTTTCAGACGAGTAAAAACCGGCAAAAACCGACCGGTATGTTAGGTCATGTACTGCCAGTTAAAACGAGAGGCTTCGAAAAACACCCATTTGCGGGTTCCTTACTCACGTTTTTATTATTACTCAAGAAGAAATGCCACTCAATTGGTAATCTGCAAACCTTAAATTTTTTCACTTAGATTTTGCAAAAAAAACTGATATTTCTCTTTGAACGGCAGTGACACCTTAAATCTGGTCTCTAACAAAACATTGTTGAGATAAGTTGCGAAGTTTTTCTCAGCTAACACTGTTCTGATTGAGCTTTTTAGGGAGTTAAAAAAAATTTCGATTAAAAAAATGAGTAAGTTTAGACAAATTGAGAAAATAAGGTTGATGTTTTTTGTAACAACATGATTATCTTTGATAAAAGAACTTAGACTTGCTCTCGACATATTTTATTGAAAAAAATTGCATATCTAGAAAATTGTGAAATTCATTTTATGACTTAATCCTGAGGGGGACTAGAGGGAGTCTTACGACTAACGAACTTTGTTGGAGTAGCTAAGATTTCGTCTAATAGATCATTCGTCTCTATCATGCAGATCTGTTCCACTTACGAGCCAACCGTACCGGTTTGTACTTATAAGCAATTGAGTTCATCTCTCACTGCGACGGAAGATAACGCTTTCTGAATTTGATAATAGTATTTCGGTACATTTTTACACGTACGTCAACAACTTTCTATTTTAAACTAATATACTGAAACTATTCTAATGGCGTACACTTTCAAAGAAAGAATATATTTTTTTGTGGCTGACCTTCTTCGAAAGGAAGAGAACAAGAAAAGAGAGTTAAACATTCAGTCACAGGTAAAAAACACACATTTTTACAGTTTTGCAAGAGTTGATAAAAGTAACTTTGTATTTCATTTTTTGTTCTCTTAGAAAAACAGTAGTTACACAAGCGCAGTGCGCTTCTGCCGCCCTTTAAAAAAAATGGTGTGAAGTTTCGGTCGAATCAAACTGCTGTTTTTGTGAAGAACACTCTATTTATAACCGCTTATTATACCATTTTTAGATACGAATGGCTGCAGCAAGTGATAATTCGTCACGTAAATGTCAATTTTCATCG